TGGACAAACGGGTTGATATAGGGTTTGTGTCAAGTTTTCCTTCTCTTTGCAGTGCTGTTGTCTTACGTACTTTTCTCCCTTGCAGCAGTGGACTATTAAATTCCTTTGATAGTGATGATGGTAAAATAAGGATTTAAGGGATTTAAAAAAAAACCCTTAAAACATACTTGTCTTTTAAAAGTTTTTTCAATTACGTCATAAAGCTTTAATATTTCATCATATATTTCAAACATGGTAATCCAATAATTTTCTCCTATCGGTCCTTCTGACTTCTCTGATTTTCTAATGCTGTCGATCCAAAATATTAAAGCACTTTGTACTAAATGCAATAGTCTACTAGCATACAATATATTCCAGTCAAAACAAATTATAATTATTATTGCAATGTAGTCGATTAAACTTGTCCGCACTTTACTAATATACAATAATATGATCCCTAGAATATAATAAATAAGTAAAGCAATAACGACCGCCCGGTTAAATAGAGTTATATTTTTAATTTCACTTTCATTGATATGCAGTAACTTGAAAACACGTTGTAGTCTCAAAATAAAAAACACATTAACATGTCTATAAAATATGTCCGTGGCCGGATTCAAGATGTACCCATAAAATAACATAACGCAATCAGTAATATAACTCCAGTACAGAATAACGTTTAACACGTGCTCTATCTTAGTTGAAGTATACACACGGAAGAAAAATGCAAATGAACACAGAATAGCAGATAAAACTGTACAAATACTGTATTTATAAGTGTTTGAAGTGATGAAGTTGTCACAAATTTTATATTTGACAGTGATGAACATTGTTGGTATCACGTTCAAGGGCCTCAGCAAGGCTTGCATATCTTTTTCCACAAAATTATTTAATAAAACCTCATTATTATTGGTTCTTAGTCGTACTGGTTCTATGGTAACATTATCATTAGAAATAGTATTATTTTCCAAAGACAAGGCCATGGTTGAACCAAATGTACACGTACATTCGACCAATGGGAAATACTGTTCAATTTATGTTGACACAATTAGTAACTTTTTAATTAAATTGAGTAATACATCCAATTTCAATATTATTCAGGGAAACTGCCGTAATTTACATAGGAATTTCTGTTTTCTTAAATCTTTCATTATAATATGTATTCGATGTAAAGAAAATATGTATCTAAAATGATAGACCGACAATCGACCATTAACTTAATTACTTTTAATGTCGAATAGACACGACGTAATTGAACGAAACTTGTTGCGACGTAACAACTTTTGTTCAATTACGTATCAATGCCATTAAATATTAAACTGAAATGTTTTTTGATGCGTGAATAGTTTACTAATAACTTTAAGTGTTAAATGTTTCAAAAATACATATGAGTATACTTAAAACTTTTCTGGTGTATTTCAGTATTGTTTACTGAATCTATCCATGCTGCTGTATTTTGTGTTGTGATTTATGTATAACAATGACTATTAATACTGCCTCGGTGATGCAGTGGTAGGGTTCGATTTAAAGTTATAGAGGTATTGGATAAACCAGTGAATGAGCCATGTGTGTGTGACGGATCAAAAATACAAACTATCACCAAACCTATTCATCCCGTGGGATGTCGTAAGAACCGACTAAGGGAGCAAACCACGTAGGACAACCGCACTGCAAAGGACTACCCGTCTCGCCAGCGTGGTATAGTGGGCCAAAACCTCCTTTCTACGAAGAGGCCTATGTCCAGCAGTGGATTGTTGTAGGCTGTTAATGATGATGATGATGATCTAAATAATACACACATACATATTATATATACAATACCCATATTCTCGAGGAGTTCCTGAATAAATTAATCCTATTTTTGAATAGTTGCATGCTTTTACTGAAAAGACTTTGTCATAAAACTACATATAAATATAATCATTCTTGATGGTATGCTCTTTTGCAGTAAGTCAGCAACAATCACGCGAAAATTTAATGCAATTTACCCGTTCGTCGTTCAGTAAAATGACAGCGGCCGGTTTGTTCTACGTAGATGCTTCACTGCTAGTATACATGCTAGAAATCATTACAAATTACGTTGTTACATTGTCGCAACTAGCTTTTCTATATTTTTATTTTATTCTCACACAACTTCATAAACTAAATTAAAACTTTTCTTTTAATATTTCTTTTCCTATCCTAAAGTTAGCTGTGGATCTCAACTATACTATGTGGCTTATGATTAGTGGCTAAATATTTTTTTATTACCCTGATTGCTAAGCCAAAGGTAGTAGTTTCGATTCCCAGCCAGGACAAATAATTATGTGATGAGCATAATCATTTGTTCTGTGTCTGGTTAAATTTTATCTATAGTATGTATGTGTTTAGAAATATTTAAGTATGTTTATCAATAGTCTGATTACCATAGCAGAGGCTCTGGGTAATTTGGGATCAGACTGACGTTATATATTATTAGAAAATCTGTAACAAAAGATGTTAAAAAATCTCTTTTTAGTAGTGAACAATTTAATAATTCCCAGCAATTTTTTTTTATAAAACAAGAAAAGTAAATTCCAAAATAAACTTCAATATTGTTGTAAAATTTACATTCTATGCTATATACAAGGTAACATACTTATTTACATTCATAGTTTCACTATTACTTATATTTAAAATATGTTTTCATATGTCTTCAGTTAACTTAAACACTATAAAATAAACTAACTGATCCGCCCAACTTTATCTGCTTCTCTTTAAAGGAATAAATTTTCCCCGTTTTCGAAACATTTTTCATTAAAAGTCGGCTCCTATTGGTCATCCTATATCCTTCCTCGACAAAAGGGGCTATCCAACACTAAAATAAATTATCAATTCGAACCAGTAATTCCTGAGATTACCTCGAACTTATAAACTCACAAACATTACCTCTTTGTAGTACTAGGCATGCCTTTTAAGTTCTGTCGTTTCCATATTTCCCGGCAGTGTTGAATTTAGAATTGTACTTTATTCGAATGTGCTTAAATTTTGAAAATAGTTGAAAGTATTAGGATTAGTGCTATTGTTTAGTCACAGCGTCGATTGGAATCTGTCAGGTTACGTACGAAAATGAATCTTTCTAAGGAAAATGTTCGTGCAATAATTTTCTACAACTTTAGAAGAGGTCTGACACGGCTTCAGTGTTTTGAAGAGCTAACATCTGTGTTCAGTGATGAAGCCCCATGTCTGCGGACTGTCGAACGCTGGTATTAAGGATTCATTCGACATACTAGTGTTAGTGACAAATCTCGCGAAGGACGCCCAAAATCCGCCTTCACTGAAGATAACATCATGGCTGTGAGACAACTAATTCTCGAAGATCGTCATGTGACGTATCGAGAGATAGAGGCTCTATGAGGCATCTCGGGGACAACCATTCAGAAGATCTTGCATGAAGCGCTTGGTGTTTGTGTAACATGACTGTATGAAAGCCCTGTAGCTTCTACTACCTACCAATCCCGACTACTGAGCCAGAGTTATTGGGTTCTATTCCCACCAAGTACAAATAATTTTGTAATCGCTATGATCATTTGTTCTGTGGGTGGGCTAAGTGTAATTCATTCTTGTGTAGTATTAGAATATTATGTAAATATATTTATTACCAATCTAGTTGACATAGTACTAAAATGGTTACCGTGGTCCTAATATTGTCAAATTTGTTTTTGAGTTTATGACTTTTAATTAAAGTCAATTAATGAACGTGTGTTTTGCTTGCTAAGAGTGATGATAAATTACGACAAATTTAGTACAAAACATTTAGAAAAGTACCATATATTTATAGTAAATCGAGATTAAATTCGAGGACAAATAAATATAGACTAAACTTATATTAAATTAGTTTGTATTTAGCACTAAAACGCGTACTTTAAACATTGTTAGACAAATTTAAATGCAATTTTCTATTTAATGAAAATAGAAAATTGCATTTATTTTTGCAAAAATTGTTGATAAGTCCAAAACACAAAGAGCACTTAAAACAAAAGTTTATAACTTCATTCACTCGTTCAATACAATGCTTACTGTTGCTCTTCCAGGGTCTTAGAACTAAAAATGCTTTACTTAAAAAAAATAGTTTTATACTGGTACATATTTATATTATTTTAGTGAGACTTTTTCTCAAGCCTTTCAAATGTACTTAAGATCATATTAAGAACCGATTTCAAAGCATTATGTGATCATTAATTCTTGAATTTTTCATGTTACTAGCAGAAAATAGTTGATAAACGAAACTTCTCTGCGATATCTTCTTTTCTACACGGTACGTTACTAGAACTAAAAAGAGGACATTTTGTTTTTGCATAACTTACACACATTGAAGGCGATACTCTTTTTTTTAAAAATCTTTTAACAATAATCATATATTATTATTATCGTCATCATCATGATGATGATGATTCCATTGTGGTCCATAACCTAGCATCGAATACATTTAATTATGTTCACTTTGTCTTTGCACGCAACTCAATATTTTGAAATCCCTGCCAAACATCTCTCCATCTCCTAAAGTTTGTGGTAATGGCTGGTTCAAAGTTTCAGGTAGGAACAGGGCAGTAATGCCACCCATGACACTTAAAACACCCATAATAGCCAGCGGTAAGGCTCTTGAATAAACAGCCTGTAAAAAAAAATAAAGCAATTCGATGTAGCTGAGTTGAACAAAGTTAAATGAAATTGAAATGATTCCATTCCCAAGGAAGTTTAACATCAGGCAAGTAGGTGGCAATTTAATAAACCAGAATCCTTTGAAATATCATACATTGCACCAATCATAAGTAAAAGTGAGAAAGGGTATAAATATGATGTTGCTAAGAAAAGACTTTTACTAAGAAGGTATGGCACAAAAGTTTTCGATATACAGTGCTTCAGGATTGCTAAACCGTCTTTATCAGGTCCCTCCTGAATTAAAATTTGTATCTAATTGTATGAAAAGTTTGTCTACAATACTTTTTTCCTCAGCACCTTTTCTGATTTTGTCGATGTCTTAATTCCATTAAAGTTTTTTTAAACAATGACAATGAAATTTATATTTTGGTAATTATTAACTTTGTTTAATTATAAGTAATACACTAGCACTCTACACATAAATGAATTGGTTTCTTATTTGCTTTACATAACACAAAAAATCATTAGACCTTCGTCTGTATTTATTCCTAACCCAATAGCAAAAACAAATATCTTACCAAGTGCACTATATATGGAACTGCCAACAGCCCAAGTCCAGATATGAAAGATGAAGCGCCCATTGCTTGAGCTCTCAAAACTGTTGGTAAAATCTCTCCAATCAGCACGTAAAATACAGCAAAGGACGATGCAGCAAATAGTCTTCCAAACATAGACAAGGCAACTGTTATCCAAGGCCAAGCTGAAATAGAAAATATAATGCGCCTATGCTGAAACTGATAGTAATAATTGGACACATTTCCGGCAGAGACTTTGTTATGATTATTATACTACTGATAAACATGCTTATACCTTTCTAAATAACACAAATGATCGTGATCCTACAATTATGTATACTGGGTGATAATCGGATCCATGACCTTAGAAACCAGGATTCCTAACCACTAGTAATACAGGAGATCCTGTAAGTAGTGAAATTAGAGAATTAAAAAAATACCTTGGAAACTTGGTTAAGTACTTTAGAGTAACTTTGCAAGAATAATTTGAAATAAATAAATAAATTCTCATAAAACATCTTCTCGTCCTCTGAGTCCTTTCACAAACTAGATTGGGGCCGGCTTTTTTAAGTCTACTACGATAAGACTAAACGCCTTATTTTTACGCGGGGCGACTGCTTTTAGGCCTCCACAACCATAGTACTAGGCGATATCAAAGTTCGGTGTAAGATTGGTGTCGGACTTGTTTAGGGCTCCAACTACCCATAATGATTGACAAAGATTTTTGTATAAGTATTAAAATGCACTATTGAAATTTTGTCCATACTAATATTGAACATTATGCAAAACCACTTCTGGTTGACAGGTTAAAGCAGAAAATAGTCAATTCACTGCTATACTTACATTCAGGTACAAGTATACAGCTAATACAGGCAATTCCACCAATACAAGTAAAGCTACAAAGTACCCAACGTCGTCCATAACGCTCCATGCAGCGCCAGGCCAAAAAGTATGATGGTATTTCGACTGCACCACCTGAAAATATTTATGTGGTTTTTCGATTAATACTAAAAACCAAATGTTGATTTCGGCTTAGCGGAAGTCAATGTTAAGTTAGGTATATCGAAAGATTCAGGCATCTCTAGGAACAATTTTTTTGGTAGGTATTTTTCTGTAGTCTTGACAGCGTGTAGATAAAATTGTATAAAATGATCAATTGTACGTGAATGTGTTATAGACAGATAAACTACTTTTATGATAACAGTTAGGATTACTGATATAGCAGAAAAGTTTCTGAGTTATACGGAGAGAAATCTAAAACGCTATAAATCATGCATCTTTGGGGATATTCCACTAATGATTTATATGATTGAAATTGAAGTACGTTTTTTAGTAATGTCAAGTACAATACGCAAGTGCTGTTATTATTTTGCAAGCGTATAAGACAATTCAATATTCAATTCGAGATTACCACCAACTTAATAACTGATCCCGACCAGTACCGTTACGTCACTCTAAGTCCTATCGTTGTCGAAGAGTGGAAGTCCGAACAGAAGTAGAGAGTTTCAACAGTACGAAGTGAAGTATGGTCGTGTGCTGTGTGAATGATTCCATTTATTATAATAAGTAAAAATATAGAAATGCTTACCAATAAAAAACGCCAAATAATCATTAACACCTAGATTAGGCGTATTATAAGTTAAACTGTTATACACAACGCCCAGAGCGATCCAGTCGAAAGTTAAAATGAAGAACTTCTTCCTTATATTGGGGTTTCGAAATATATCTAAAAGAGAAGCCTTACAATCCCCTTCAGAATTTTGATCATCCATTATCTTCTTCTCTATAATATCATCATCGTCTTCTCCCTCTTCGTGTATAAATAATTTATTAATGAATTGGATAGACTTTCTTCTCAAAGTATTGCCTGGATGCTTTGAATTATCTGTTTGTATTGCTTTTTGGTGATACTGTGAATCTAGATTTGTTAACTCTGTAATATTTTGATCTTTTATGTCCTCATCATCTCTTTTCATTTTTGAGTTTCTGTTTACCGTTTCTGCTACTTCTAGAGCTTTTATGTTTTCTAAGCTTTCTTTGCTAGAGTTATCTATTTCTGATATATTTGTAAGATCTGGTTTAAACGTGAGCATATTACTAATTCTTCTGTCAGTAATCTCATCTTTTTCTGGTAGTCCTGTATAACCAGAAATATGACCGTTCATATTGGGCAATACTTCTAATTCTTCTTGAGTATTTTCTTCCTCTTTAATCGTTTTCTGCTAGAAGAAATGAACCATTTAATTTATCATTTGTATAAAAAATAACAAAGGTATGCCCGTGAATAGATCCCAATATTATATTAATTGAATAAAGCAAAATCTTTGAAGTATTACGAAGATCACACTAGCAGAATATTGCTTCAAGTTATTGTTTTGTTCTGTCTTAATTTGATGACTGGTTTCGATTATGATAAGTCGAGCTGTAGAAGTATCATGCCTTTTAAGTGAATGTAATTTTATACAAAAGCCCAGGCCATGCTTTCAAGAATAGATGCTATGCTTCGGCACAAATGGGCCGGCTCGACCGGAATGATAGTGTTAAGCAATTATTTCGTTGTTTTTCACTGAGTGAGTGAGGTTACCGTAGCCCAAATCCCCCCTCCCGCTGACTCAAGCGAGGGACTCCAAGGGCGGCAACGCACTTGTAACTTTTGAGTTGCAGGTGTCCATCGGCGGCGGTATTTGCTTACCATTAGGTGACCCGTCTGCTAGTTTGTCCCCTTATACCAAAAAAAAAGACAAACTCGTGTAAAAAAACTTACATGTATTTCTAGTAAAAATCCTTTCGGCAAGTTAATACCATTCTTTCTCGCGAGATTCCTATAAACTTTCTCAGCATCAGCAATTCGGCCCCTACCAACGAACCATCTTGGTGATTCTGGTATTATCCAATAAAATCTGAAAGTAAAAAAAAATCTTTCAAGATTTTACGTGTTTTTAAACGGATAATTCGCCCTTATGCCAAGAAGTTTCCTTGGCAGATAAATTTGCACCTCGTTTATTTTTATCAAAGGGAGACAGGCATAGATAATGAGAAGTCATGATTGGATCGTGTAAAATAAAACAACGTGTACTCACCCATACAATAATATAAATGGTAAACTCGTAAGTAATGCCAAATGATAAGAGTCTTTAACAGCATACGCCAGCAGTGCCAGTATGCACATACCAGTCGCAAAAAGCATACCCACCACAATACCTTTAAAAGAACAATTATTTCTTTAAAAAAAATGGTGTTACGGCTTAAACTCCTTAAATAGAGTCTCATAAAAACAAAATATAGGTAATCCTTTGTAACTGCTACTACGCTGGTACTGGTGTATACGACTTCCCAATATTTTACGCTCGACTTGCATACCTCGCCAGGTTTAATCATTTTTATCCAGTTCAGTGATCCCTCCCTTTGCGACCGAATAAAGCAAGACCAAGTTTTTTAAGAACTAGTGAAAGATCTGTTTATCGTTTCTTGAGAATCTTTTATTTGGGAATCATCCACATAAATAATTCCCATGACTTTAGTCATGGGAATCATTTGGGACAATCATCATGGGACTTTAGTCATGGTCTTTAGACCGTGCTAAAAGTTTTATCTTATCATCTTATAACTAATCTACCAATACTGATTCATCTACGTCAAATTTCGTTTAATATATCTGAAGTACAAAATTATTAAAAACCCTTCTTTAACTAATTAATTACTTAGGTTAGCTTCTAAGCTTGATGTAAATAACTTTTTTAATGATATAAAGTAATGAAATACTGAAAAATAATCGTACCGCTATTGTTCCTCTGCCCTGGTGGCATCAGCTCCAGTGCTAATATAAAGGGTTGCTGATACAAAGCCGGGAAGAATAGTCCACCAACTATAAAAAGTCCTACATAAGTCCAGTAGGACGTAGCGAAGGCTGCTGCAATCGGCAATGGTACTTCCAAGAAGATCATCAGAAGTATAGTAGTTCGGCGACCATATCTGAAAGATTTTTTTTTACATAATTTTTATACATACACACACTCACATCTTTTACCTTATTTATTGTTATACTATACTATATTTATTTAGATTAGGAATATAGAGCACCCCGTGGGTGTTTTAAGAGCCGACTAAGGGAGCAAACTAAGCAGAGCAACAGCAAAGAGAAGGAAAATTCGACAAAACCCTATCCCCGTCTGGCCAGCGTGGTATAATAGGCTTAAACCTCCTTTCTAAGGAGAGACCTATGTTTAGCAGTGACTAGTAAAGCCATGTGACATCTTTTATCGCTGAAGGGATGGACAGAGACTTATTAAAACGCTCAAAATTTGCCGACTTCAATTCTTATCTTATATACACATATTTCTGAATAAACATACTTGTATATAGTTTGCCATTATTTCAACAAACTTTCTTGTGATTTAAAATACAAAATACTTTATTTTATTTTTTTATTCAAGAAAGACAACTCCCGCACTAGGAATATATCGTGTATCGCAGGGGACTTTACGAACATACATGAACAACGGACACAAAAACACCCAGACTCAAAACAACAATTTGTGGATCACACAAAGTGTTGTTCCATGTGGGGATGCGGTGAGGTGACAGTATGTTTTTTGTATTGCTTTTTAAATTTTGTAATTGCATTATAACACCATGATAACTTAAAAAATGACGAAAATGAATCACAAATACAATGTTGATGACCGTTTGATGAAATCGTTTCCACAAATGGTACGTATGCACCGGGGCGCCTTCGTTTATGACTCACTATTGACAGTACGTTATTTGTTTTTATACTGAGATACTGTTAGCTATTATTTTACCTTAGGAAATATGGTTAAAAATGGAATAAACAGTAAATTGACGAATGATATAGGAGAAAGCAAGAAGTTAATACATTGCGCCAACAACAAATTCAAGTAGGAAAGGATCAAAAGATTTTTTTTTTTCTTTTTTTTTTAAAGACAACTCCCGCATTAGGAATATATCCTGTGTCGCGGGGGACTTTACAAAGTTGCATGAAACGGGCACAAAGAACACCCAGACTCAGAACAACAATTTGTGGATCACACAAAGTGTCTTCCTATGTGGGGTTTGAACCCACAACAATCAGCGTAGTAGGAAGTGGCCTGGCGACCGCTTAAACCCCTACACCATCCGCGCAGACAAAATGAGAGATGATGACTAAATAATAAATATTAATATAACATAACAAGGTTAAGCACCTTTTCCTTATAAAATATGTAAATAAAAGGTGCTTATAGACTACAAAAAATACAGAGTTTTTTAAATTACAAACGACATCGCTTTTTAGAAACTAAAGAGAAAAGAAATACCTGTCAGATATCCATCCAAAGAACAAGTTCCCAAATATTGATCCAACCCAGAACAGGGTGTTACTTATCCTGGGCAGCCATTCAAGATCACAAACCAGAGAGAACTGAAAAATATACACCTGTTAAAAATATGATAATGCCAAGTTTTTTTTTTAATAAAAGCAAAATGGTCGTGGATGTGAAAGAAGTTAGAAAACTAAATGGACGTAAAACATGAAGAAATAAAAGTAATTATAATACAGTTAAGGTCGCCACGCTGCTTACGCTACGCTACGCTGAGTGTTGTGGGTCCGATCCCCACATGGGACCACACTTTGTGTTATCTACAAATTGTTGTTCTGAGTCTGGGTGTTCTTTGTGCCCGTTTCATGTATGTTTGTAAAGTCCCCCGCGACACAGGATATTTTCCTAATGCGAGAGTTGTCTTTTTTAAAGAAAAGATTTTAAAGAAAGAAAGTTATATTTCTGTTTTTATAAACAAGACAAGTACTTTAAAAAAAGAACAAGAAGAAATACACAGTTTCTATCTACATATCAAAAAGATCTAATTCAAAATTCAGTTTGCCATAGAAAAAAGTACTTTGTTTCTGTTAGCGGTGTCGATTATTTTTTACTTTTCTTTTTTTTTAAGAAATTACTTGAATAAAAATACGCCAAGTATGTAAAAAGGAACTTACTTCTGTGACGTGAGTTCTTCTGTACTGTTCTCTACTGAATCTCCATCCGTTTTGACAAGGTGATGTGGTATTTCTTCGAACTGATAGAACAGCCTCTGAAATGTTTCCTATCTGAAAAAAAGAGTATATGATTTAATTTAAAAAAAAAAAATATTCGTCAGTCACAAATAAGAACTTCAAAATACTGATTTTCATAATTCCGAACGGTTCAAAATTCCTAATAAAACAACTCCGATTCTTATAATTAAAAAATTTCAATATTCCTAATGTTTATACCATAACCATCACCTCGGGTGTTCCCATTTTTGGGACATCTGACACACAACGCCATCTAATTTTCATTAGATTTGTATCCTATTCAGTACAACGTGTAAAATAAAAAATAACTAGCTGTTCCCTGCCGCGATTCGCAGTGTCACATTGTGATTGCATTGATCAGACATGAGGAACTAAACAGACACGAAACATAAACAATCTTTGAAAAGGTTTGTATATCGAGTCAAAAGCTCCATCGGTGCATAACCTGTTTGATTATTCAAAGGCTGTACTCACAAGATTCTTTGAGCTCAAATTGCTGATAGATGGAATTAGTTGATAGATCTTCAAAGAACGTACGACAGTGTCTTCTTTAACGGCAACTGTGCTGCGAAGAATAAAAATATTATCAATGTTAATGTTAATTTCGATAACTTTTGGTTTTATGGTGAGAAGAACGTTAATGTTTCGTGGGAGAGCCACGGCAAAACCGGTGTCACTTCTTTCGTTGCTTTTCACCGCCCTCCCTTAATTCTGGAGGTGAGGGCACTCAAGGAAATTATTTACCATTAAGTGACCAGTGATCCGTTTGCTCGTCTACCCACTGTACAATAAAAAATATTTCAGATATAGATTTGGTAAAGCCAGATAATTAGGTACTATTTTATAAGAAGGGTGTTAATTAAAATACAATGTATTTCAATCTACACCTTAAACTGCTTACTTGCGCATTGTTAAATATTATGTCAATCCTAATAATGAAGGCACAAATAAAGCAATAACTATTAACAAGGCTGCAAAAGCAACATGACATAATGTGATGACCGACATTGTACGTATTAGAACAAGCTGTGACATGGATGGAATTAATATTATTTATTACCGCTAATAGTTAGCCACGCTAGGTATTTTTGGCGACGTCAATATTATTACAAACCACAGAGCCAGGATTAGTTGTAATAGAATCTTTTTGTATGACTTACTAGTCATTTATGACTTTTATTTTGAATGAAATGAAGGACTGCGTGAAACGGGATGTCAGGTGATAGAGAGAGAAGAAGAAAACTAATTCATTTTCAAATTTTTTTGAAAATTTATTTAAATTTATTTGAAATCGTGTCTTGTGTAGACTCTAAAATCATAGATCAACACACACAATAGCAACAATCTCTGTTTTGTTTTGTTCAAATATTTAGCTAACTAAAATCTCTTATGCCTGTGCCGATCTACAACAAGACAAGAAAGGGCAAAGAAACTCACGGCCATTCTTTTGAATCAACAGATGTCAATGGCATCATTAAATATACACAACATTGTTTTGACATTGCTTTGTTCGACATTATAATACTTGATAAATATATATCGGCAATGCATTAAGAATAATATCTAAAACCAATTTTATTAACAAAAACGGACGTCCGTTCTCATAAACAAGCAATGCAGATAAAGTAATAAAATACATTAAATCAATGGTAGGCTTTGATTGATTATTTGATCAAATTTAAAAAAAACAAGACACTTTCACAGTCACATGGAAACAATATTGAATGAACTATCCAGAGAGTTTAATGGAACTGCATTATACGTCATTACTTCCATACCGATATTATAAATGTGAAAGTGTGGTTTGACTAAACCGATGAAAAAATCTTTCACCAATGGAAAGCTACATTATCAGTGAGTTACATTGGCTAGTTTTTATCGTGATAATTGACATACACGCAGGCGGAGCCGAGGGCAAAAGCAAGTATCTATTATAAAGGAATTAAGAATTATTTTTTTAAGAATTTAATTAAGAAATTAATTAAGAATTAAGAATGACGATTTGCGCAAGATTTCTGACAGGAGCTAGATGCGAGAAGCCCAAAATCGATCTAAGTGCCGTGCAATGGGAGAGGTCTATGTCCAGCAGTGGACTGCGATAGGCTGATCATGAAAGCTTGTGAGAAAAAAATGATCAAACAAATTTACGGTAGCTGTTTATACGAGAAGATAGTTAAAACGAAAATAACAGCAAAGTAGTATCTTATAGGACTAATTTTTAAAATCATAATCATGAAACTTAAAATCAAAATCCAAAACCCATACCAAAAGTAGATAAACTAGAATTAGGCTGAAATTAGGAAAATTGAATATAAATAAAAGAATAATTTAGACATAAGAGGAACAAAAAAACATTACACATAAAAAAACATATTCCGTGTGGCAAACTTAATCCAAGCGATTGAACTTTACTTTTATGAATTGAATCTAAAAACCTGTCGTTAATTAAATACTAGAATTATCGCCCATTAAGGAGCTTACGTACTCACTTAGTTTTTTATAACCGATTTACTGTCTGCATGTAATAATCTTATTTGTAAAAACAGATATGGACAAATAAAATATTATGCCGTATAAATATAGGCTTCAAATGATCAGACAGCCTACGATACAGTTTTATGATTTTTTATTCATTCTATTCGGGATTTTATTGATATAGAAAATTTTCACAGTCACCTCAGTCACATTGTTAATTTATTATTAACGAGCAATCAGAGCAGTTACTGAAAGGAATAATGTTTTTCCCATTTTCGTAATATTTTTCATTAATACTTTGTTTATATTGGTCGTAGCTTGATTTTAAACAGCCTCTATTCTTCCTCTATAAAATTAAATAATAGATTAAGATTTCTCTGTCTCTTAGTGTTTTTTTTTTCTTTTTTTATCGTGATAACCGACATAAACATCACAACGACATCCTGTTTCACGCAGTCCTTCATTTCATTCAAAATAAAAGAAGAGAAAGAAAAAAAAAATAAGAGAAGAGTCTCTTTAGCTTTACTGTCGTCTTAATAAACATGAATTGAACATTATTAATAATGTGTGTCACATAAAAAAATCTAAAACAAATATTCCAAAGTTCGTATGTCAATGTCATTTTTTTATTAACATTTTGATTGATGGTTTTATAAATGGTTCGTTAAACAGATAAAAACTATAATGATCACATGATAGAGCTATTACGGTTTCTTAAGATTACAGAGCTTTTAAATACGCCTCTGTAACTTGATATAACTTGTTGTGATACTCATGTCTGGTTGGTGGTGTTGGACTAAGAGTTTACTGTTATATGTATTTACTAATACACATATTTTGCTGGAATAGTGTTCAACGTTCAGACGAGTCTCCTTAGGAACTACATAGTCCCCTGTTTCTTGAAGCCACTGTCCATGGCCTCAAGAAGCACCATTGTTTTGCCTCAAACTTTCACTCACTCAAACTGCCTTTATTTCATTTTTTTTTATTGTTTGAAATCGTCTTTTATGTAGACTCTAAAGTCGTAGATTAACACACACACAATAGCAACAATGTCTATTTTGTCAAATACTAACTATTTAATAATAATAAAACTAATTTAATAAAAATTGTACTGATACAAAATCTATGATATGCCTGTGCCGATAAATAACCGCCCCCGTTTCTAAGGGATCAATCCCTTAGAAACGAACCTCTTATGAGAAGAAAGGGCAAACAAACTCATGGCCACTCTTTTGCGATTTACAGATAAATACAATGGCATCATTAAATACACCATAACATTGTTTTGATGTATGTCAGTATGTCCGTTATTAAGAACTAAAAGATAATAAAGAGAAAAATAAGACTAAGAAAAAGATAAAATAAAAGAGAAAGTAAAGTGAAACATGAAAAATATATTTTGTTTATAAGAAACACCCTCCCTTGAAGAACCCAGAATCAGAAGGGAACCTTACTTACTCTAGTCTTTTTCCACAATTGAGTTACAGATAGTTCACATAAAACTGGTAGTAAGCAACATCATCACATTACATCGACAGCAATATTCCATTGCTGGATATAGAAGGAGAGGTTGTTATAGGGCAGTCACCGTGGAGACGGTGAGGAGGACCGGCTTCATGAGGAGTACCGACGGGCGCGGAAAACTGAAGCTGGCCATTAGCCGCGCCAAAGAAGAAAAGAGACAGGAGATGCTGGAGGGTCTTAATCGTGACCCCTGGGGTCGCCCTTACCGCGCGGTGCGACAAAAGCTCCGCGCGTCGGGCCCCCCCCCCTTACGGAGACTCTCCAGCCCAGCTTCCTGCGAGAAGTGGTTGAGGGCCTTTTCCCACAACGAGCGGAACACACTCCCCCGGCGATGGCCTCCTTGGCCGGAGACGACGGGGAGCACGGGGAGGATAATGTTCCGCCCGTCCGGGATTCGGAGGTAGGGGCGGCTGTTCTACGGATCCGTTCCAAGAACACCGCCCCTGGGCCAGACGGGGTACCGGCCCGAGTGCTGGCCCTGGCCCTCAACCACATGGCAGACCGCCTCGGGGAGGTGTTCGACGCTAGCTTGGCGTCGGGACGCTTCCCTGAGTGCTGGAAAAGCGGGAAGCTGGTCCTATTGAGGAAGCCGGGACGGCCTGCCGATTCGGTCGCGGCCTATAGGCCCATCGTGCTGCTGGACGAGGCGGGCAAATTGTTTGAGAGGGTTCTTTCTGCCCGCATCGTCCGGCACCTCTGCGAGGTGGGCCCCGATCTGTCGGACGCCCAATTTGGTTTTCGGGCGGGGCGTTCGACGGTCGACGCCGTGTTGCGCCTGAGGGCCGTGACCGAAGAGGCCGTGAGCTGTGGCGGCGTGCTGTTGGCGGTGTCATTAGACATCGCCAACGCATTCAATAGTCTGCCATTTAGCTGCATCAGGGAAGCACTCCACTATCATGGGGTGCCAAAGTACCTGAGGCGGCTAGTGGCAGACTATCTAGAGGAGCGTACCGTCGTGTACGAGGACCGAGAAGGTAATCTGAGGTGTCGGCCCATGTCGTGCGGTGTTCCACAGGGGTCTGTTCTTGGACCCCTCTTGTGGAACATAGGGTACGACTGGGCCCTTCGCGCCGATTTCTCCCCCGGGCTGGGTGTAATCTGTTACGCAGACGATACCCTGGTGACAGCCCGGGGGGCAAACTTCCAAGAGGCGGCGCGCCTGGCCATAGGGGGAGTCTCCCTGGTGGTCGGGCGCATTGAGGCGCTGGGCTTACGGGTGGCCCTAGATAAGACGGAGGCCCTGTTATTTCATGGGCCCCGTCGTGGTCCACCCCCTGGCGCCTCAATCGTGGTCAACTCGGTCCTCGTACCGGTTCGGGCCCAGATGAAATATCTGGGCCTGATCCTCGACGGGAGGTGGCTCTTCGACGAGCACTTCCGACAGCTTGCTCCAAAGCTGGTCGGCGCTGCGTCTGCCCTAGGGCGACTTTTGCCCAATATGGGTGGACCCAGCGCCGCGACAAGACGGCTGTACACGGGGGTTGTCCGGTCAATGGCACTGTACGGTGCACCAGTGTGGGCGGCGGCTCTGACCGCCCAGAATAGGGTACGCCTCTGGCGCCCTCAGAGGGTAATGGCGGTCATAGCCATACGCGGTTACCGCACCGTTTCGACGGAGGTGGCATGCGCGTTGGCCGGAACTTCCCCGTGGGATTTGGAGGCGGAAGTGCTCGCCGAAGTTTATCGGCGAGTGGCTGACTCCCGGGCGGAGAGCGGATTTCGCCCTCCGCCCGAGGATGTGCGCGAGTGGCGCGAAGCCGCTCGCCGAGCCACGATGGCTCGTTGGTCGTTCCGGCTGGAGACTCCACGCGCTGGCTTCGCCGCCGTGGAGGCTCTCCAGCCGGTCATCGCCGAGTGGGCAGGGCGGCAGCACGGGACCCTTTCCTTCCGGCTGACGCAGGTGCTTTCCGGGCACGGTTGCTTCGGAAAGTACCTGCACTCGGTCGCTAGGAGGGAACTGAGTCCCGCCTGCCACCACTGCGACTGCAGTGAGGACTCGGCCCAGCACACGCTGGCGGTCTGCCCCGCATGGGCGGCGCAGCGCCGGGCCCTCACTGCAGTCATCGGAGTGGATCTCTCGCTACCGGCCGTAGTACGCTCCATGGCCGGTAGCGACAGTTGTTTTACCGCGGTCGCAACCTTCTGCGAGGTAGTAATCTCGCGGAAGGAGGCGGCGGAGAGGGCCCGGGAGGACGACCTCCACTCGGACCCGATCCGCCGCCGGCGAACCGGGCGGCGGAGGCCCGCCTATCACAGCCTCATGCCGCCCTGAGTGTGGCCGCGGGTGGACGGGGTGGGTTTCCCCTCCACCCGCATTAGTTTGGCCAGCCGCGAGGGGGCGGCGTCCGCGTGTGCCGGACGTCGCCTAAAGAGAGGAAAACAAAAATATTGAGACGGAGCCCGCACCAGGAGCGGGCTGGCGCTAGGAGGGGTCCGGATGTCTTAACAACAGCTGTTCCCGGATCCCTCCTGTTACAGGCGCAGAGTGGCACACCGTGTGGTTTTAGTCGGTCCGAGTCCGACACACCACCCCGCCGCAAACCCCGGAGGGGTGACGGTCCGAGGGGATTTCCACACGTTAAAAAAAAAAAAAAAAAAGGGCAGGGATTCCCAAACTATTTTGGGAAAGACACCCCTTTTCTAAAATGAACTTTCTCTATCTTTAATAAACGACTCGACGGGTCAACTTTTATTTTATTTATTTATTTATTTTATACTTTATGCACAAATGTGACACAGGCGGACTTAATGCCGTAGGCATTTTCTACCAGTTTTAAACCTCGTCGACCCCCAAAATCAGTTCTCGTTTCGGTTTCGGTTGAAAGCGGTTTCCCAGGGGTCAACCGCTTTCGACCCCAAGGGGTCGATATAGATCACTTTGGGAATCCAAAAAGGCAGTCCATATATACCAAATACCAAAAGAGTAGTAGTAGAAAATTGAAATGCTCAGTCAAAATACCTCTCTTCAACGTAATCTTTCAACACATTACGGAGCTCCTTTGAGTCGAAGTCATACGCCCTGCAGCTCTCATACACGCCATTTTGTCTGGGTATCGTAAGAGAACGAATGATATCATCAGGAAGACCCAAGTTTTCCAACACCTTTGGAGGGGCACACCAGTGCTCTGGAGTAGCATTTGTGAAGACCTGAAAAAATTAAAAAACTCTGATAGTGATTTGTTTATCAAATTATTGAAAAGCAAATCAGTTGTATTTCTAATTTAAATGTTTTTTTTTTTAAATATCACTTATAATGTTGTCAAACGATAAAATGACAGAGAATTACAGAGAAGTTGAATTTGAAATAACAATTAATATAAATACATTTGTGGCAACCGTTACGGGTAGTTAGAGCCCTAAAGAATCCAATAAGGGTCTTTCTACACAACTTCGATTTCACCTAGTACTTGGGTTATGAAGATCGTAAATAAATCGAAGTTCTAGAAGACTTGAAGCTGACCTTAACCTAGTTTGGGATAAAGGCTCTGACGAAGAAGACGAGGAATTAATACAAATAGATTATGAAATCATGCCACTAGCCAAATTACATTCTGAAATCATAGTTTCAGCCAAACTGAATGAAATAGTGGAATATAAGTAAAAGTGAGTATGAGGTTAATATTTGTATTTCAACATGTTCCAGCAACTGCCGACAACAGAGAGTATAAAGTAATAAATACCAAATGGATTAACTTGATACACTAAATCAACATCTTAAATCATGGTAACACGAAAATGAAATGGGTTTGTATTTAATGGAACTCTTAATAACTAATGATTTTTTATTATATTCATTGAAAAAATAAACATTATAAAAACACCATATTTTTCCAAAACCTTGCAAGTTTCTTAAATTTAAGCGATTAAGTAATTTGACACAGTTAAAAACACTTCTAGCTTCTAAAGCTTCTTATACGATGTTTGGAGAAATTTTCTTTTTGCTTTTTGATAGTAATATTGAGCTCCCAATAGGGGTTAGTAGTTAATAGTTTAATTGACTGATTTTAGGGTTCCGTACCTCAAAAGATAAAAAAGGAACCCTTATAAGATCACTTTCTTGTCCGTCTGGCCGTGAGTCACCACCGATTTTCTCAGGAACGGGTCGACCTAGCAAGTTGAAATTCATACTGAAGTTTATGGTCCCTATTCGGTGTACAAAAGTCAAGATCCTGAGTCAACACGATAAAAAGATATGGGCAAATTTTGATTTTCGCGAAAACTTGTAAGTACCAAAATTTACCTTAATTTTCAATTTTCAAAAATTTTCTCTTTACTTGTGCTGTAAGACCTTGCTTTTAACCAAAATTGACAATTTTTAATCAACCGGAAGTACCCTATAGGTTTTGGGTGGAAAACCTATATGATAGTTCCCGTTGACCTACAAAACGTCTTACAGCACAAATAAAGGAATACACTCCTCATACTTAACCCTACATTTTTTTATAAAAGTGTTAAACCTAAGCTCTAAGTCTAAGAGCGATCTAAGTCTCTTTCTCTGATTGGTCCTTCATGTCTAAAGATCGTGGATTCAGGATTGCATCTGCAACAGATGATCTCCACGCTTCCTGTTTAGTGCATCTAGACCGTGTACAAATTGGAGGACGTTAGCACGGTACTATTATAATACAGTAGTGTAACTCGGCCGCATGATAGAAATAAATGCCTACAGCCGCGCGGTACGTAAACATGCGTTAGGGCTGCCCGTCTTCAGCATTTTAATTATATTTGCCTACTTTCTGTTTCTATTTAGATTTGTGATTGTAACTATCCTTTTTATATAAATAAATGAAATACTTTGTATATTGAATAGGAAGTGTTCAATAAAAATGCGTGTTGTTTTTTGATTGGTAGATTTTATTTTCTTTCTGCATTGGAGGAGTTCAAGTTTCAATTTTCTTTTTCTTGGAGTGTTGCTAGAGAGACTCGTTGAGGTTTGAGCAAAGATTTCATTTGTTGCATTCTCAGTCTGTGTACTATTTTCATTTCCTACCAACGGAGCAGTTTGGGTTGGTTTATCTTCTTTTAGAGAGACTCCTGGATCAGTACTAGCTAAGCTTGGCAGCATCAACAATGGTAGTGCATTCTTTTTTTAAAGTTTTCTATTTGATGAATGTAATACATCCTCCAAATTAAAATGTTTTCACAAACTTGGTAGGAACTAAAGTTAGGTTTGTTTTCCAAATCATCTCGCCGGATCAGTTGCAACCATTGAAGACGTCTGAAAAAAGAAATACATGTGGCACTCTCGGAGACTGCCGCGGTAAAGCTATTGCACAATTATTATTTTTTTATAAGAAAAAAATCTGCGTGGTGTCAGGTATTTTTCGTTAGGTTTTGAGAATTTCGAAACCTATCTAATGACACAGACGGTAAAAAAAAATTTCTAGTCTTATTCATACACACAGATAATAAACAAATATTATTAATAATAAAATACCACGTCTTTACTTTGAATTATGCAAAGTAACAAAGCACACATGCACCGAAGTTTTAACACAAGCGTAAGTAGGTAGGTACCTACCGTATCATGATTCATTCAGAACCGCATGTAACTACCTATTTCACTCGTCTCAATAACTTTCCGTTACTCTATTCGCTTTATTTATTAATCCAAACACGTTTTTTTTGGTGAGATAAAAGGAAATACTTATCCATTAAAAAGACAAATTATGTACTTACCTACTAGTAAGTAAAATTATTTTATAGTCTTACCTTTCAGTTTCCAGGTAATTTAAAAAAACTTATGTCTGGATGCGTTATTGACGAATTCATACAACCAAAAACAGCATAATATTTCCTACTCGTCATATTAACTGATTTTTAGAGAAAAAATCGCGCGGTTATTGTTAAAAAAACAACACACCGTCCGTTCGACACTGCGGTACAGCCGTGACTGTCTGCGCCCCGAGCGCACCCCGAGATCGAGGCGCGTAGGTATAGCTCGCGTTTCGTCCGTTTGTATGAAGTTGGAGTACTGTATTATAATTGTACCGTGACGTTAGTTAGGACGAGATGAACCGACCAATTAAAACATAATTTGGTCGGTTCATCTCGTAATACACGACTGCGCAATCGAATAATATATTACGTAAACTATTAATTTGTATGACTATGAACTAGGACGTGTTCATACAACATTTGCGCAATCACAATGCTTGTGTTTGAGAGAATGAAATCGTGAGAAGTCGTAAATGCGTCTCATCTCAAGGTTGATCACAAAGGATATAGGAATGTAGGTGACCATTTTCTTTATATATTTGTCTTTAACTGCATAATATTCTTGTCAACAATATTTCGTTCATATTCAATACACGGACTGCACGACTGCACGGATGGCGTAGTGGTTTAAGCGGTCACCTCGCTGCTTTCTACTACGCCGAGTGTTGTGGGTTCAAACCCCACATGGGACGACACTTTGTGTGATCCACAAATTGTTGTTCTGAGTCTGGGTGTTCTTTATGTCCTTTTCATGTATGTTTGTAAAGTCCCCTGCGTGTATTCCTAATGCGGGAGTTGTCTTTAATAAATAAAAAGAAAAAAATAACATTAAGAAAAAAAAAGATTAAGAATATGGAGTGCCGCCACCGCTATTCATCCCGTGGGTGTCATAAGAGCCGGCTAAGAGAGCAATCTACGCAGGGCACTGCAATGAGAAGGAAAACTTGACACACATCCTTTTTTTTTTTTTTTTTTTTTTTTACGTGTGAAAATCCCCTCGGACGGTCACCCCTCCGGGGTTTGCGGCGGGGTGGTGTGTCGGACTCGGACCGACTAAAACCACACGGTGTGCCACTCTGCGCCTGTAACAGGAGGGATCCGGGAACAGCTGTTGTTAAGACATCCGGACCCCTCCTAGCGCCAGCCCGCTCCTGGTGCGGGCTCCGTCTCAATGTTTTCCTCTCTTTATAGGCGACGTCCGGCACACGCGGACGCCGCCCCCTCGCGGCTGGCCAAACTAATGCGGGTGGAGGGGAAACCCACCCCGTCCACCCGCGGCCACACTCAGGGCGGCATGAGGCTGTGGTAGGCGGGCCTCCGCCGCCCGGTTCGCCGGCGGCGGATCGGGTCCGAGTGGAGGTCGTCCTCCCGGGCCCTCTCCGCCGCCTCCTTCCGCGAGATTACTACCTCGCAGAAGGTTGCGACCGCGGTAAAACAACTGTCGCTACCGGCCATGGAGCGTACTACGGCCGGTAGCGAGAGATCCACTCCGATGACTGCAGTGGTGAGTGGTGTGCAGGTACTTTCCGAAGCAACCGTGCCCGGAAAGCACCTGCGTCAGCCGGAAGGAAAGGGTCCCGTGCTGCCGCCCTGCCCACTCGGCGATGACCGGCTGGAGAGCCTCCACGGCGGCGAAGCCAGCGCGTGGAGTCTCCAGCCGGAACGACCAACGAGCCATCGTGGCTCGGCGAGCGGCTTCGCGCCACTCGCGCACATCCTCGGGCAGAGGGCGAAATCCGCTCTCCGCCCGGAAGTCAGCCACTCGCCGATAAACTTCGGCGAGCACTTCCGCCTCCAAATCCCACGGGGGAGTTCCGGCCAACGCGCATGCCACCTCCGTCGACACGGTGCGGTAACCGCGTATGGCTCTGACCGCCATTACCCTCTGAGGGCGCCAGAGGCGTACCCTATTCTGGGCGGTCAAAGCCGCCGCCCACACCTGTGCACCGTACAGTGCCATTGACCGGACAACCCCCGTGTACAGCCGTCTTGTCGCGACGCTGGGTCCACCCATATTGGGCAAAAGTCGCCCTAGGGCAGACGCAGCGCCGACCAGCTTTGGAGCAAGCTGTCGGAAGTGCTCGTCGAAGAGCCACCTCCCGTCGAGGATCAGGCCCAGATATTTAATCTGGGCCCGAACCGGTACGAGGACCGAGTTGACCACGATTGAGGCGCCAGGGGGTGGACCACGACGGGGCCCATGAAATAACAGGGCCTCCGTCTTATCTAGGGCCACCCGTAAGCCCAGCGCCTCAATGCGCCCGACCACCAGGGAGACTCCCCCTGTGGCCAGGCGCGCCGCCTCTTGGAAGTTTGCCCCCCGGGCTGTCACGAGGGTATCGTCTGCGTAACAGATTACACCCAGCCCGGGGGGGAAATCGGCGCGAAGGGCCCAGTCGTACCCTATGTTCCACAAGAGGGGTCCAAGA